ATGGCAATTTCGTAATAACTCAATCCGATGTAATTTAACATTATTTAATCTAATTTAATCATACCAAATCAAATTTTAATTAAACCTACCATAAAATCGCATAAATTCTAATTAGCATATAACACCAATCAATTTCTGATTTGGTCGCCGATAAGACTTTCAATTCATCGTTCGAAATTAAAACATGAACAGATTCATTCAGAAATCAAACAGATAGAAATGCATTCAAAACAATACACTTATACAATCGATTCAGGATATCATTCTAATCAGTTACTTATCATGCTCAATCATAGTTTAACACTAATCAGAGGTGAGGGTTGTCACAGATATGCCCTAGCCCGGCAATCGAGTCAATCTCATATGAGCCGTTCCAATTGGAGCCCAACTTGTCGTCTGTAAGATTTTTGGTGACAGGAAGCACTTTCTTGAGAACCAATTCCCCTGGGGTGTAACGGCACAACTACATGCACTGGTTATACGATTTGGCAAGCTACTGCTGGTACCTTGCCATATGCACAAGAGCTTGATCTCGACACTCTGCAGTCAAATTTAGGTCTGAGGCCAACATCATATCATTTTGTCATGTGTCAAAAGCTTCTGATCTTAGAGTGGGCAGGCCAATTTCAAGAGGAATGATAGCTTCTATCCCAAAGCACAAGGCAAATGGTGTTTTATCGGTAGATCGCCATGGTGTAGTGCGATGAGTCCACAACACACTAGGCATTTCTTTGACCCACTTGCCCTTGGCCTTTTCCAACCATTACTTGATTCCATCTAGAACCACTTTGTTAGAGGCCTCAGCTTGACCGTTCCTTTGCGGATAAGCTGAGGAAGAGAAGTACGGCCGAATTACATATGTGTCACACAATTCCCGATAGGCGCCACAGTCAAATTGGGTGTCATTGTCGAATATAAGTGCCCGCAGTATGGCGAACTGGGTTGTAATGTTCTTCCATACAAATCATTTGACATTAATGTCCCTGATGTGTGCCAACGGTTCTACCTCGACCCATTTGGTGAAGTAATCCGTAGCAACAATCAAGAACCGTTTATTTCCCGGAGCCCTTGGTAAAGTTCTGACAATGTCCAGGCCCCACTAAACAAAAGGCCAAGGACTAGTAACGAAAGTCAATTCTTCAGTGGGCAAATGAGTCAAGGGAGAAAACTTTTGGCATTGCTCACACTTCTGTACGTAATTTTCTGCATCAATTCGCATGGTCAGCTAGTAATACCCTGGGTTACGACCCGATGGGCCAATGAACGCCCTCCAAAATGGGCACCGCAATTGTCTTTCTGTATTTTGGCCAAAAAATCCTCCACTCTATCTGGATGAACACATTCCAAATATGAGCTTGAGAGAGATTTTTCGTAGAGCTTTCCATGGGGGTCCAAATAGTATCGTAGGGCTTTGTTCTGCAGCTTATGAGCTTCTTTCTTATCTGTTGGCAACTGTTCTGAGAATAAGAATGCGGCAATGGGATCCATCCAACTCGGCCCCATGTCAATGACATTGACACTAATAGATTCTAGGAGGCTGATACTCGACTTGGGGATGAATCCCATCTCAATGGTTCGCTTAACTTTCAAATTGATGGTAGAAGCCAAATAAGCAAAAACATTCGCATGGGTATTTTGATCACGGGTAATTTTCTAACATTTTCTTTTCTGGGTCCACTCGAGCAAGGAATCTGTCACTCAAGCGTGGATTTGTTACTCCCAGCACTTTGTTGCATTTCAGGCGTGTCTGCTCGAGCGTGGGATGTCACACTCGGGCGTGTCCGCTCAGGCGTGAAATATTGGCATCCAGAATTTCCACCATAGCACTGTAAAACTTTTGAGACTTTTCTTTCTACGCTCGAACATGGAAGTTGTCGCTCGAGCGGGGCCTTCTCGATCATGTTTGGACGCTCGAGCGTAGGAAGCCATGCTCGAGCGGGGATCGCGAAGACAGCTTTTTAAACACAACAATTCGAGGTCATTCTCACACCTCCCTTTTTTCTATTCTTGATGTCCTCTCCACCTCTCTTGAAAACCCTAAGTTCTTATCATCCAACACCTCTCCTAGCAAAGAAATCAACCCGAAAATCTCTTGCTAGAAGCGAAATACACTTAAGGATCATCGTTTTTACCGATTAGATCGTGGGTTTGCGATAGAACCGTGAAGGAGCTTGGGTTTTGGTTTGTCATTTGAGGTAGGGATAGTTTGTATCTCTTCATTCTTGAAGGAATTTCACGGTATTGTGTGTGATTAAGACCCTAATTGAAGTTTTTGTTGAATAAAACCCACTTTCCATCTAATTACTCTTTTACTTAAAATTTTGTTTGAAATTGCAAAATTTCTCTCTCTAATATAGGTGAAGATGTGGTTAAAGAACTAGATTTGGGACAAGGAGAAGAAACCCCAAAATTTAGGGAAACCCTATGTTTCCTATTGGTTCGAAAATTCCCTGGCTAATGAGATACCCAATTGATTCATGACTTTGGTGAATAATAGAGGGATAACATGTGGGTATTGACGAAATTCAAGAGATGATGGCTTGAATGCTATTAGTCTTTGAGTTTTATGTGATGTTTAGATGTGATGATGATACATGATGTTGATTGTGGAATTGAAATGTGATTTAATTATTAAACATGCATGAGTCCATGTATGAGTTGGTAATGTGTGAAGGTGGTATCGTGTTGTACCCACGCGGGGGGTTTTAAAAGGTGCCCAATTGCCCTGTCTAGGCTTATCGCTGGATGAATATGGGAAAACATTTTTGGGTGTCCACACAGTCCCGCCGTATAGTAGCCGGCAAAAGTGGAAAAATTGATGATTTTCTTAGGGTGCCCACTCCCCGCAGTATAGTAGCCGGCGATGTGGGGGTTGTCTTTAAAAATAAATGGTTGTTCTCAATAGGGTTCATGTGATGGAATGTATGTGAATTGACTTCTTTGTTATGAAGGTTTAATTATTTAACTCAATAACGTTATTTGTGTTTATCTAAATTAGACTGTAAAGGTTCTTGTGAGATGTAGAATGTATATATATATTTTCTAAACAACTTTTATTGTGTTTTCATTTCACATGGATGCCATAATCTTACCCAGAGGATTAGATACCTGGATAAATGTATTCCTACTGGGCATATAGCTCAATCCTAACTTGTTTTTCAGGAGTCGAAGAAGGTCTACCTCATTGAAGGATTGGAACAAGCACTAACCCTATTTCTTTTGGAGAGCTAACTGAAGTCAAGGGATTTGGTTGTATTACATTCATTTCGAGATTGATGTAATTGAACTATCTTTTGTATATGTAATGTCGTACACCTTAAGGGCTTATGTTTTGTTAAGTTATCTAGTTCACCGAATTGAGAGCAAACTTTGGACATTTTGTGGATGTTCTATAAGAAGTGTAAACACTCAACTCTTAAATCCTCTTGGAAAGACAACCCCTTTTGGGGACGTTATGATAATATTTTTGGTGTGTGTAGCAAGGTGAATTTTGCAGGGTGTTACAAGTTGGTATCAGAGCAATAGGGTAGAATACTTTGGGCTCATGGGAAGTGACGTTAGTCGCAATAGGTTCCTTAGATTATATGGATTAACCCAATGCGTTATGTTTGTCTATGTGATTATGTGGATATGGAGTTAGAATCCTAGGATGTGGCCTTGTTGTCCGTTGCATTCTTTGAAATCCTCTTGGAAGGACACTTGATCACTGTTCTTTCCACTTGGAGGCCCTTGATTGCCATGGATTAGCTAACATCTAGGAAGGATAATTCAAGTGTGTTTTTATGTGCATGTTGAGTATTTATTTGATTATGATGCTTTCTGAAGGAGTGAGCAAGGGGCACTTAGGTGTTGAAAATTGTTATTAAATTTAATCCTTGTCCCTATTTCTTTTAGATGTCTAGGTGCGTTAGAGCACGGGGTAGGCCCCAACGGGGTGGTCGGAACATCCCAGCTGAACCTGAGATCCCTCCGCAAGAAGTGGGAGTGCGCCAAAACAAGGTACCTGCTCCACCGGCCCAAGGAGCGATGAGGGTATTAGCTAGGGAGATGGCAGGAGCTTTGTGGGAGTCTATGGAAATGTTAAAAGCCGAGCAAGCAGCTAGAACCATTGAGGGGAAAATGAGAGCTTCCTTCTTGAAAAATGAGTTCTTTCGTTCCAATCCTGCCGAGTATAGTGGCGAGCTGAACCCGATGAAGGCCAATGAGTGGTTGGAGCAGATAATTAAGTCCTTTGAGATCTTAGACATCAGGGAAAACGAGTTGCGAGTGGCGTTAGCGGCTTATCAACTGAAGGGGGAGGTCGGGCAATGGTGGAAGTCTGTTAAGCATAGGGTTGATCATACTTAGGAAGCATTTGTGCAAGCTTTTCAGGACAAATTCCTCCCTCCCACGGCTAGAGAACGACTGAGGAAACAGTTTGAGCAACTATTACAGTTAGATACACTGGTGGTGGAGTATGAAGCGAAATTTACTAGCCTATCTCATTTTGCACCCGAATTGGTAGCTACGGAAGAAAGGAAGTGCCTTGAATTTGAGAAAAGGCTGAGACCAAAGATTTTGATGAAGGTGGTTGGTAACATGATCCGTGACTATGGCTGCTTTGTTGAAGTTGCAGCTCATGTAGAAATCACAGTAGAGACCAAGGAGGCAAAACAACGATAAAAGATGACAGGACAGCCTGACACTAGAAGTGACACAGGTTCTTCCAAGAGGCCTAGGGGTTCGACATCATCTTGGCAATCACCCCGACAACAAACTAAGTCTTCAAGCAATGTATCGGGTGGGAGTTTGGGAAACATGACCCGAGTTACCGGTGCATGTCATAGGTGTGGCCAGATGGGTCACAAGGCTGTAGAGTGTGAGCAGATGGGTGGAGCACGGTCTCAGCCGGTGCATTCACAGGGTCAGCCTCAAAGTGAAACCAGCAACAATCCTGCTATCAATGTGGCTAACCTGGACATTTGAAGAAGTTTTGTCCACAAAAAGTAGGAGTTTTGGAGATGGCAGGGTCTAGGCAATCTGGAGGCTCACAGACGAGTCAAGGACAGAGACAATCATATCAGTCGGCTCAATCAGGACAGGCATCTAGGACTGTTCAGGGAGCCTCATCTGCTCAGGCTGCACAACAAACTTATGGTCAGAGGGGTGATGTAGGAGAGCCGAGGTCGCAGGGAAGGGTGTATGCAAATACTGCTTTTGAGCAAGCTACGGGGTCATTGGTTGTGCGAGGTACATTTCTCATCTTCAATACATGGGCTAAGGTGTTGATAGATACTGGGGCTTCACATTCTTTTATTGCTACGTCATTTACATCACTGTTGGGATTAAAGAGTAGACAACTACAGGCTTCATTCATAGTAGAATCACCAGTAGGGGGAAAGGTCAATCTGACCCGGGAATGTCAGGGGTGTGTAATCGAGGTAGGAGGTCGACGACTTCCTTTTAATTTCGTAGTGTTGGAAATGTCGAGTTTTGATATCATTCTGGGAATGGATTGGTGGTTTGCATATCGGGCGACAATAGATTGTTATCGAGAGTGGGTTACGGTGTGTACTGCAAATGGTGATTGTTTCACTTTTCTGGAGGATAGATGTGACAAATCTTTACCCTCCTCATGCTATCCACGTAGCCGGGGTCAATTTAATTTCCTTCTGGCAACCCTTTGGGAGGACGGAAACAATGTAGTTCGGAATGAATTCCCAAGGGTAGTGTGTGAATACCCCGACATTTTTGCTGAAGATCTCACAGAGTTACCACCTCATAGGGAAGTAGAGTTCACTATAGATTTGCTTCCGGGAACGACACCAATCTCATTGTCACCATATAAGTTTGCCCCAGCTGAACTAGTGGTTTTGAAGGAGTAGTTGCAAGAACTACTTAGTAAGGGCTTCATATGCCCTAGCACGTCACCATGGGGAGCCTCGGCTTTATTTGCAAAAAAGAAAGATGGGTCCTTGAGATTGTGCATAGATTATCAGAAATTGAACCAAGCTACAGTTAAAAATAGATACCCCTTGCCTAGAATAGATGACCTCTTTGATCAACTTAAGGGCTCTCGTTGTTTCTCCAAAATAGATTTAAGGTCGGGCTATCATTAGATTCGAGTTAAAGAAGAAGACATCCCTAAAACTGATTTTCGTACCTGATATGGTCATTACGAATTCTTGGTTATGCCATTTGGACAGACTAATGCACCAACTACGTTCATGGATTTAATGAATAGGATTTTTCGAGAGTTCCTTGACAAATTCGTGGTTGTCTTTGTGGATGATATTCTTATTTATTCACCTTCAAAAGAAGAACATGAGGGGCATCTTCGTGTGGTTTTGCAACTTCTTAAGGAGCATTAGTTGTACGCAAAGTATGAAAAGTGTGAATTCTGGTTATCAGAAGTGAAGTTCTTGGGTCACGTAGTGTCGGGAGACGGAGTTATAGTGGACTCTTCAAAAATAGAAGCTGTGTTAGGGTGGGAGCAGCCTAAGAACGCCTCGGAGATTTGTAGCTTTCTGGGTTTAGAAGGATATTACCTTCAATTTGTGAAGAATTTCTCTTCTTTAGCTTCGCCTTTAACAAGATTGACCTGTAAGGGAATGAAGTTTGTTTGGAATGAAGCATGTGAGAATTCCTTCCAAGAATTAAAGTTTAGACTGACCACCGCCCCAATTCTTATTATTGCGGAACGAGGGTTAGGATATATGGTCTATTGTGATGCTTCTAGAGAGGGATTGGGATATGTTTTAATGCAAGAGGGAAAGGTGGTAGCATATAGCTCGCGCTAACTAAAGACTCATGAAGGAAACTACTCAACTCACGATCTAGAACACGCCGCTGTTGTTTTTGCCTTGAAGTTGTGGAGACACTACCTCTATGGTGAGAAATTTGAAGTCTTTTCTGACCACAAAAGCCTTAAGTACTTATTTTCCCAAAAGGACTTGAACCTACGGAAGCGGAGATGGATGGAGTTCTTGGAAGACTATGATTTTGAGATACAATACCACCCCGGTACGGCCAATGTAGTGATGGATGCTTTGAGTAGGAAGTCGATGAATGCAATAGCCAACTTAGCAGTGGACGAATGGAAGATGATAGGAAATGTTAATGAGTATTCTCTGCAACTCAGTGAATCCATAGAACAAGCAACCCTCTTTACCATCATCACATAACCGACCCTTGTTGCAAGAGTAACTGAAGCTCAACAGGGTGATCCAGAAGTGGAAACAATTAAAGAGAGAATTCAACTTGGAAAGGAAGAGAGGGGCCTAAATGTTCATACAGACTCTAGTGTTCGTTACCTCGATCGATTGTTCGTTCCTGAATCCATGAGAAATGAAGTTTTGAAAGACTCTTATCATTCTCGTCTCACTGTGCACCTGGGGGGCACCAAAATGTACCATGATCTAGGCCACCAATTCTGGTGGAGGGGCATGAAGAAGAACGTAGCCTCTTTTGTGGCCAAGTGTTTGACATGTCAACAAGTTAAGGCAGAAGACCAAGGACCGACTGGATTATTGCAACCCCTTCCTGTTGCTGAATAGAAGTGGGAATATGTCAACATGGATTTTATCTCTGGTCTCCCTAGGACTCAGAGAGGTAACGATGCAGTATGGGTGATTGTTGATAGACTTACTAAATCAGCTCATTTCCTTGCCATGAGTATTGGGGATTCCGTAGAATTCTTAGCCGAACTCTATGTTCATGAGATTGTCCGTCTCCACGAAGTACCAGTTAGTATAGTATCTGATAGAGACCCTCGCTTTACAGCTAGGTTGTGGCAGAGTCTTCAAAGTGCCTTGGGAACTCAACTAAACTTTAGTATTGCATATCACCCCCAAACTGACGGGCAATCCGAACATGTTATTTAGATTTTAGAAGATATGTTGAGGGCTTGCGCGTTAGATTTAAGGGGTCATGGGAGAAGCATCTACCCCTGGTTGAATTTGTGTACAATAATAGCTTTCAAGCAGGTATTGGAATGGCACCCTTCAAAGCATTGTATGGACGTCCATGTAGATCACCGATATGTTGGACGGAAGTGGGAGATTCACTTTTGTTAGGCCCAAATCTAGTCCGTGAAACCACTGAGAAAATAGCCCTCATTTGTAGAAGGTTAGCCACCGCACAAAGTCGGCAGAAGAGTTATGCGAACAGGAGAAGGCGACCCTTATCCTTTGAGGTAGGCGACCATGTGTTTCTGAAGATTTCCCCTAAAAAGGGTTTGATGAGATTTGGCCGAAGTGGGAAATTATCTCCAAGGTTTATTGGCCCCTTTGATATCATCAAGCGGGTTGGGGAAGTAGCGTACCGTCTTGCATTACCTCCACAGCTCTCAGGGGTTCATAATGTCTTTCATGTGTCTGTAGCACGCGCCTGCGAGGAGGGGCCTCGCTGCTACAGTTCGGACTTGATTTGTGTCACGGTTCTTAATCTGAACCAAAGAGTCCAAATCCGGAAAATCGTTTTGAGAAACAGATTTTTTTGAAAAGAAGTGCCAAACATGGACTGCTTTGCCAGATACAGAGTCGCCACCTAAATATTTTTTTATGGGGGAATTTAGGAAACCCTGACTTGGTGCCGAAGGCCACATGTCCGTTATCGCCAGAGTTGCCTCGGCTCGGGATCTAGGGTACGATTGGGGAAGGTCAGCTATGAGCACCCCCTCTCGCCCGATCTGAAGATCGGCTTCTACTAACCGTGATATCCGTTTTTGAAAACATTATGTGTTCTTATTCCATTTATTAGCCTAGAATTACTATGTTATGCGCACAGCAAACAAGTATAGACTAGATTGCCTAATTTGGAAATAATCATTGCATATCCGTTTGTTTTGGAAAAACGTTTCGGAATTTGCTACTCGCAAGTAGGCTAAAAAACATGGATTTCAATGAGCTTTTCCAACTCAGGCAACCCAACCTTCACCAACAGGCATCCAAACAGTTTATCACATAAGCATCTAGCCACATGGTAAACATGCTGTCATGATAGCATTCACACACATGCGAGGATGCTAAAGCGTAAATACTTACATCGTACTCCGTGCCAAAACAATAAACTAGTTAGCAAACATGCGTGATCCTAGTTCATGTTAAAGTGGCTAATGTAACACATAGAGAATGCGATTAAGATAGGCTCGGCTAATCTATAATGACATGTGAAATGCTACAACTAATCACGTATTCAATTTGGAATCGAAGTACAAATGCAGTTAGAGTGATGTGCCGAGCCTGGTGCATGCAAGGCAAATGCATGAATGCACGCATGCATAGCATAAGGTATGCTGATTTAAAATGTGCCCTAGTCTACCATCATAAGCAGGTAAATAAAAGGGAAGAAAGACGTGGGGTTGGAAGACATACACACACTCACGCACACTTATTACATAATTGCCCTCACTCGGAGGGTCCAAATAAATATTACAGTCCGAATAATAAACGCATTAATTATTACAGAATTTCTGATTAATTAACAGAATGAATGCAAAAAGAAAGGTGGCCACAGCCCCTGCCTCGGGATGCGTGAATGGTGTATGCTCGAACCCGTCTTGCCCGGAAAGTCCGCACCATACCACTGCCGCCTCTGTTTACACTGCCCTGCTTCTCTAAAAATTTCCAAAGTTCTGGGACAGGTTCCTTGCACACTGTAGAATACCATCGGCTGGAGGAAACACCCACCGGCCATAGGTAATTTCCATCGGCTGCTGATGGAGTTATCGGCCATTCACACATGACCGGTCGGCATTGGATGCTGGCGGTCGGCAGAAACTTCCTGTAGAAGACAGTTTTGACAGCAACAGAGGACAGACAGTATATGGCATGGGATTTCAGGCACATGTGAGCATGGTCATGTTTCCCATCATGCTTTGAACTCAGGGAAGCATGGCCCTCGATACTCGACAATTGTGCATGATAGCCTAAGTGATCAAGCTTGCCATTTGATGTAAAAATGCATGCAACACACAAATGAGGACCAAGACCCTATCATGTCGAAGTCAAGGGCCCCGGTGACCGAGAGTTAAGACGTGTTGCATCACTTATAGTATGAACGCTCCTTAACCCTCACACTTGGTTTGACACCCCAAACCAAGTAATGCAATGCATGTTATGCTCACATGGCTCAAAATGCAACATGATGAGATGAAAATGCAAGGCATGCCAAATGCCATGCAACTAATATGGCAAGTATGCAATGCTAGGCATGCAAGATGCAAATGCAATGCAAACATAGACGGTTTAAGCAATAAGATCATCATGTTACAACACCTAATGAAGCAATCATGCAACAAACATGAGAGAAGCATGCAATGGTGGCCTTAAACCATAAAGGGGCAGACCTCAATCCACCTCAAAACAGTGGCCAAAAGTGCCCAAAATGGTGGACAAACACTCATGCCAACACATAAGCCAAAGGACCTAAGGCTAAGGCACAAAAAGGGGACTTTTTACTTCCACTAACATGACCATTCATGGCATGAATTGGACAAGCAAAAACAGAAACCTAGCATGCAAAATGGACTCCAAACCCACTGATATGGCAGCTTAAATGGCTCTAATGAGATGCATACACCAAAGCTCATTTTTAGGCATAAAAGGGCACATCCTCAAAGCATGAAAGAGGTCACATATGCAAACATACAAACATGATTTATGGACTGAAATATGATCCTAAATGATGCCAAATCATGGGAAAGGTCTAAGCTATGCATGCTAAAGGCCAATATACTCAAGGCTTACAAGCCAAAATACAAAGAGATGACACCAAACATGGCAAGCACGACTGAAACAGATGGCCAACAGGCCTTAAACATGGTAAAGTAATGCCAATACCTTCATGAAATTAGGCTAACACATGCAAGAATCATGACCTAAAC